GGGCGTGGTGGTGGGCACCTGTAGTCCCAGCTACTCGGGAGGCTGAGGCAGGAGAATGGCGTGAACCCAGGAGGCGGAGCTTGCAGTGAGCCAAGATCGCACCACTGTACTCCAGCCTGGGCCTGGGCGACAGAGCGAGATGCCATCTCAAAAAAAAAAAAAAAAAAATCTATTATCTTCTATAAGAATCACAAAAGATGAAAAATGTCAATAAGAACCATCTGTTAATGTTGGTATATATTTTCGTTGCAGTACAGAATGATCTCACATTATGATAATTGAGATTTTATAATTTCCAAAATAGTTACAATTTATTGTTGGTTGTTTATTTAATTATATGTGTATGTATACACATAGATGTGTGTGTGTGTGTGTATAAAATTTCATTTAACAAAATATTATGGTTCTACCTACCTCCAAAAGCTTCTGTAATTGCCATGCTTTCAATTCCACCTCCTAGCAACTTACTAGAAATAGAAAGAAAGCATTAGTAACAGGAACAGAAATAGAAATATTAAGGGAGGAGAAAGTATTCATATCATTAGTATCCTTCCTATCTATCTATCTATCTATCTATCTATCTATCTATCTATCTATTTATCTATCTATTCTATCATCTACCTATCTATCTACAGAACATGAACAGCAATTCTTGGCTGAACAAATAGCATGCCACTTGCTCAGATCACAGGTTCTATTGTGTACGGGCAAGTGGATCAGCAAAACAAATGATAAACCCTATTGTTCTTACTTCAATAGTGAATGGGGCCTGGGAATACTGCATGCTGTAGGCTTAACAAATAATAATAAAAAAATTCTTTTAAGAAAAAAATTTAAAAATAGTAAATGTGTTAGCAAGGCCTTGTGTCTTACTAGTCTTTAGAATCGAATTGAGTTACAGATCATCTTAGTTATTATTATTATTTATTATTACTATTATTTTTTGAGACGGAGTCTTGCTCTGTCACCGAGGCTGGAGTGCAGTGGCATGATCTTGGCTCACTGCAGCCTCCGCCTACCAGGTTCAAGAGATTCTCCTGCCTCAGCCTTACAAGTAGCTGGGATTACAGGTGCCTGCCACCACGCCCGGCTAATTTTTGTATTTTTAGTAGAAACGGGTTTCACCATATTGGCCAGGTTGGTCTCGAACTCCTGACCTCAGGTGATCC